GGGGGGGTGTGGGGGGGGGTCCGGCCATCGCCCCACCATCTGTGGGGAGTGCGGGAAGGGGTTCAGCCGCAGCTCGGACCTGGCCCGGCACCGGGTGACCCACACCGGGGAGAGGCCTTACCGCTGCGGGGACTGCGGCAAGGCCTTCAGCCAAAACTCCAACCTGGCCACCCACCGCCGGACCCACACCGGGGAGAAACCCTACGGCTGTGGGGCCTGCGGAAAACGCTTCGGGGAGAGCTCGGCCTTGGTCCAACACCGCCGGACCCACACCGGGGAGAGGCCCTACCGCTGCGGGGACTGCGGCAAGAGCTTCAGCGTCTCCTCCAACCTCATCCGGCACCGGCGGACCCACAGCCAGGAGAGGCCTCACCTCTGTGGGGAGTGCGGGGATGGGTTTCGGCATAAATCCCAGCTCCGGAGGCATCAGAAGATCCACCTGGCGTGATCCGGAGGGGTGGGGGACACCGGGATGGCGATGGGGACACCGGGATGGAGATGGGGACACCAAGATGGTGATGGGGACACCAGGATGGAGATGGGGACACCAGGATGGAGATGAGAACACCTGGATGGAGACACCAAGATGGCGACGCCGGGATGGAAAGACCAGGATGGGGACACCAGGATGGGGACACTGGGATGGGGAGACAAGGATGGAGACTTGGATGGGGACACCAAGATGGGAACACCAGGATGGGGACATCAAGATAGGGACGCTGGGATGGAGATGGGAACACCTGGATGGAAACACCAAGATGGCGACGCTGGGATGGAAAGACTGGGATGGGGAGACAAGGATGGAGACATAGATGGGACCACCAGGATGGGGACACCAGGATGGGGACATCAAGATAGGGACGCTGGGATGGAGATGGGAACACCTGGATGGAAACACCAAGATGGCGACGCTGGGATGGAAAGACTGGGATGGGGAGACAAGGATGGAGACATAGATGGGAACACCAGGATGGGGACACCAGGATGGAGATGGGGACACCTGGATGGAAAGACCAGGATGGGGACACCAAGATGAGGACACAGGGATGGAGACATGGATGGGAACACCAAGCTAGGGACACCTGGATGGGGAGACCAAGATAGGGACACCGGGACAGGAACATTGGGATGGAGACACTGGGATGAGGAGACCAGGATGGGGTCATCAAGATGGGGACACTGGGATGGAAAGACCAGGATGGGAACACTGGGATGAGGAGACCAGGATGGGGACACCAGGATGGAGATGGGAACAACCGGATGGAGACACCAAGATGGTGACACTGGGGTGGAAAGACTGGGATGGGGAGACATGGATGGGAACACCAGGATGGGGACACTGGGATGGAGATGAGAACAGCTGGATGGGGACACCAGTATGGGGATGGGGACACCTGGATGGAAAGACCAGGATGGTGACACTGGGATGAGGAGACCGGGATGGGGAGACCAAGATGTGGACACCAGGACATGGACATAGGGATGGAGATACTGGGATCGGGACACCTGGATGGGGACACCAGGATGGAGATACTGGGATGGGGAGACCAAGATGGGGACACCAGGACGTGGACATAGGGATGGAGATACTGGGATGAGGACACCAGGATGGGGACACCAGGATGGGGACACTGGGATGAGGAGACCGGGATGGGGAGACCAAGATGGGGACACCAGGACGTGGACATAGGGATGGACATACTGGGATGGGGACACCTGGATGGGGACACTGGGATGGAGATACTGGGAAGGAGACTCCAGGATGGGGGCACCAGGATGGAGACACCAAGATGGGGACACTGATATGGGGACACTGGGATGGAGACATTGGGATGGGGACACCAGGATGAGGAGACCAGGATGGAGACACCAGGATGGGGACACTGGGATGAGGAGACCAAGATGGGGACACCAGGATGAGGAGACCAGGATGGAGACACTGGGATGGGGACACCAGGATGGGGACACTGGGACAGAGACATTGAGATGGAGACACCAGGATGAAGAGACCAGGATGGAGACACCAGGATGGGGACACCGGGATGGGGACACTGGGATGGAGATACTGGGATGGGGACACCAGGATGGAGACACCAGGACGTGGACATAGGGATGGAGATACTGGGATGGGGATACCTGGATGGGGACACCAAGAGGGAGACACTGGGATGAGGAGACCAGGATGGGGACACTGGGATGGGGACACCAGGATGGGGACACTGGGATGGAGACACCAAGATGGGAACACTGAGATGGGGACACTGGGACGGAGACATTGGGATGGGGACACTGGGATGAGGAGACCAGGATGGGGACACTGGGATGGGGACACCAGGATGGAGACATTGGGATGGGGACACCAGGATGGGGACATCAAGATGGGGACACTGGGATGGAGATACTGGGATGGGGACACCAGGATGGGGACACTGGGATGGAGATACTGGGATGGGGACACCGGGATGGGGACACTGGGATGGAGATACTGGGATGGAGAGACCAGGATGGGGACACTGGGATGGGGACACCAAGATGAGGACACCAAGATGGGGACATCAAGATGGGGACAACTTTTGGGGTGCCCCCCCCCCGCAGGACACCGCCA